GATCTGCCCTCCTCAGCCTCCCAAAGTGTTGGGATTACAGGCGTGAGCCACCGTGCCTGGCCTCCTTTTTTTTTTTTTTTAAGAGATAGAGGGGAATCTTGCTATGTTGCCCAGAATGGTCTTGAACTCCTGGTCTCAAGAGATTCAAAGTCGGTATTTTGATAAAGGAAGTAAGATTTATACACACTCAGAGCTGGGTGCAGCGGCTCACACCTGTAATCCCAGCATTTTGGGAGGCCGACGTGGGCAGATTACTTGAGGTCAGGAGTTCAAGACCATCCTGGCCAACATGGCAAAACCTCGTCTCTACCAAAACTATAAAAATTAGTCGGGCCTGGTGGGGCATGCCTGTAATCCCAGCTACCTGGGAGGCTGAGGCAGGAGAATTGCTTGAACCCGGGAGGCAGAGGTTGCAGTGAGCTGAGATCATGCCACTGCATTCCAGGCTGGGCGACAGAGCGAGACTCCATCTAGAAAAACAAAAATATTTAAATACACTCAGCTTCAAGAACCAGTATTCTAGAGGCTTTGCACATGCTGTTCTCCTGTCCAAAAGGCCCTTCCTTGCCCACCCTGAGGCAAAGTTGTTATACATCTTTAAAGTCTTGTCTGCTGTAAAGCTTTGCATGTACCACCAAAATGTAATGGCTCTCTCCTTTCTCTGTAAATTTCCTTTCTTATGGTACTCATTCATTCCTCCACCCATTCATTCATGCATTCACCCATCTATCCTTCAACATTTACTCAAAAACCACTCTGCCAGACTGTATTTGGCTCATCCACTGACCATGCCTACTTTTTCCTTCAAGTGTAAACTGCTTTGTCCCTGGGGCAAATAAACAGCCCTGGGTGCTCTTAGCTCTGGGAAGCCATGGAATGGACCAGAAGTGATCACCTGACCCACTGGCCACCATCTCTTTGGCCACTTGCCTGTGGTGTGTGATCTGATTTGAAAAGGCAAAGTGAGCCAATCAGATTTGCTTTCCCAGTAATTTGAACTTAGGAATACAGGGAGAAATTGACTGTTGGTAGTGGAACTTCAGGAAAAAGGGTGAAGGTGGTCTCCAGTACCTAGCGAGGCATCTGGCATGCAGTAGGTACCCAGTAACTTACTGTGGAATGACAAGTCTCCCTGCTTAACAATAATAGCTAGCATTCATTGAGAAGCTACTCTGTGCCATGTATTGTGTATTGTGCTAAGGACTTTATGGAGCCATATGTTTCAATCTTCACAACAACTTTTTGAGATTGTATTATTACATCTCTATTTTACATATGAAGAATTTGAGGCCCAGAGAGGTAAACCACTTGCCCCAAATCACAGTGGTAGAGGTGGAATTTGAATGCAGACTCCAGAGTCCATGTTTTACTTACTCTGATAAGTTGCCTTGCTTGATGTGATTTTGACAAGAATGGCAGACAGCCAGGTGTGGTAGCTCACGCCCATAATCCCAGCACTTTGTCAGGCAGAGGTGGGAGGATCACTTGAGCCCAGGAGTTTGAGACCAGCCTGGGCAACATAACAAGATCCCACCTCTTAAAAAAATTTAAAAATGGCAGATGCCCCAAAAGTATTGTTCTCCCAATTGAGTTATTTTCCAAGGGGGTGAATGACAGAACAGGCTACCTTCCAGTATGATGACCCCCAGCAGAGCAGCCAGGGACGTAAGTATCACGATGAGCAGGAAGAATCCAACAGGAACAGCTGACATGACAATGAACACAAGCAAGGTGAAGGCGAGAAATGGATGCCTGTCCAAGTACTGACCCACTGGAGACTTCATAAAGGCCACCACCTGTGGGCAAAGGACGAAGAGCCAGGGTTAAGCACCACATCGGAACCCCAGGTTGAATGGATCTGCCCAAGCTGTGGGAATTACAACCAGAGGTCGTAAAGCCAGAAGGCTCATGCATTAAGAAGTCACTACAGGCCGGGTGCGGTGGCTCACGCCTGTAATCCCAACACTTTGGGAGGCCAAAGAGAGCGGATTACCTGAGGTCGGGAGTTCGAGACCAGCCTGACCAACATGGTGAAACCCCGTCTCTACTAAAAATACAAAATTAGTCAGGCATGATGGTGTATGCCTGTAATCCTAGCTACTCGGGAGACTGAGGCAGGAGAATTGCTT